ATCTTGAAAACCTAACTAAACTATAAGTTTTGACTATTATTGATAAAACCTTACTAAGTTTTCACTATTATAGGTAAAATCTAAAATCTGTACTAAATTATACATTTTTTAATGAGCTACGTAAACACAATACCTAAACAAAAGGAGAAATAAATATACATATCACAAAATTGATCTTAAATTTGTATCAGTAAATTAAAATCCATTCCAAAACAAAGTATTCATTTCTATACCATAATCCCCTTTTACCTTTAAAAGGAGATTGGTTGTGGTCATTAACCATTTATAATCAACCCCATTTAAATGAAAACAAACATTTATAGACAATATTTGAGGATTTCCAAACCGCTTCCTGCTGGTAGGGGGCGCTGTCATACAGATCCTAAGAAGATGCAGAATTCCTGGCTGTACTCCTCTATACAGCTGCCGGCTGCCTTGTCCCAGATATTTTGAATGTTGGATCGCCTGGGACACTGTTTCAGGGGGTCTTGTTTGATAAAATCATGTTAGTCTGGAAGGAATCCACAGCTTTTTCTTTTTTCTTTTTTTAATTTTTATTTTACATATCGATCCCAGTTCCCTTTACCTCCCTCTCTTCCTCTCTCCTGTTAGCAGTAAGGTTTTTCCTGCCAGCCCATCTGGTCCCACCACCACACCAGCCCCAAATAACACACAGAGATGCTGTATTAGATATAAAGCTGTTGGCTACTTACTAATTTCTCATCGGCTGGCTCTGTCTTAAATATTAACCCATTTCTATTAATCCAAGTATTTCCATGTGGTCTCTTCTTACCAGAGAGAGGGGCCAGGGTTCTTCTCTCAGTCCACCATCTTGGATCTCCTCCCTACTACTTCCTCTCTCCTCCTAATCCAGCCTGTCTTGCTTTCCTATTGGCTTTATTCATTAACCAATATGAGAAACATATTTACAGAAAGACATTTCCCATCATCCTCCCTCTTTCCCTCTCTCCCATCCTTACATGCACCCAACAACCTTCCCCTACCATCCCCCTCCCACTCCACATGTAGGGTGATGCCCTCCAGGAGGGGTCATCTAAATCTAAGTCTTTTGGAGGGAATAGGACTTTTCTCTGGTCTCTAGGTTAAGGGAGTATCCCTCCATGGGGTATGTGCCCACAAAGTCCTTTTGTGCACCAGGAATACATCCTGGTTCCACTGTATGAGGACTCTTAGACTGCATAGGCCTTCTAGCTGAGGCCTCTAGCTGAGTCAGTCCCATGCTTGATTCCCAGCTATCAGTCTGGGGGCCCATTAGCTTCTCCTTGTTCAGGTTAGCTGTCTATGTGTTTCTGCAACCTGGTCTTGTCCTCCCTCTCTGCATCTGGATTCTAGTTCAGCTCAGTGTTTAGTTCTGTTTGCTTCTGTTTCCAACAGGTACTAGATTAGGGCTCCATGATGGTGGATAAGTTAGTCGTTGATCTCATTATCAGGGAAGGACATTTATGGTAGCCTTTCCACTATTGCTCAAATTGTTAATTGGGGTCAGTCTTGTAGGTCTCTGATCATTTCTTTAGGTTCAGTTTTCTCTTTAAAATCCCATAATGGCTCCCTCTTTTATATTCTCTCTCTCTCTTTTCTCTCTTCTATTCCTCCCCTGACTCAATTTTCCTAGTCACACATGCTTTCCTCTCTTCCCCTTCTCTTTTTCCTAGTTTCACTCTCCACTCACTGTCCTCCCACTTCCCATATGCTTAGAACTTATCCTTTCTCCCTTCTGTGAGGGACCTTATATGAATCTCTTAGAATCCACCTTGTATCCTAGTTCCTCTGGCGGTGTGAATTATAGGCTGGTGATCCTTTGCTCTATGTCTAAAATCCATATACGAGGGAGTACATACCATGTTCCTCTTTTTGTGACTGGGTTACCTCATTCAGGATGGTTTCGTCAAGTTCCATCCACTTGCCTGCGAATTTCAAGATTCCATTTTCCCCCCCACAGGGTAGTATTCCATTGTGTAGATGTGCCACATCTTCTTTATCCATTCTTCAGTTGAGGGGCATTTGAGTTGCTTCCAGGTTCTGGCTATTACAAATAATGCTGCTATGAACATAGTTGAGCACATGTCTTTCTTGCATGGATGTGGATCATTTGGGCATATGCCTAAGAGTGGAATTGTTGGGTCCTGTGGTAGACTGATTCCCATTTTCCTGAGGAACCACCATAGTGATCTCCAAAATGGCTGTACAAGTTTGCATTCCCACCAACAATGGAGGAGTGTTCACCTTTCTCTACATCCTCTCCAGCATAAGTTGTCATTGGTGTTTCTAATTTTAGCCATTCTGGCAGGAAAAAGATAGTATCTCAAAGTTGTTTTGATTTGCATTTCCCTGATAGCTAAGGATGTTGAGCACTTTCTTAAGTGTCTTTCAGCCTTTTTGATTTCCTTTATTAAGAATTCTTTTTTCAGTTCTGTACCACATTTTTAAATAGGGTTATTTGGTGTTTTGTTGACTAGTTTCTTGAATTCTTTGTATATTTTGGAGATCAGCCCTTTGTCAGATGTAGGATTGGTGAAAATCTTTTCCCAGTCTGTGGGCTGCCGTTTGTCTTGTCCACTGTATCCTTTGCCTTACAGAAGCTTCTAAGTTTGAGGAGGTCCCATTTATAAATTGTTGATATCAGTGTCTGTGCTCCTGGAGTTATGTTCAGGAAGTGGTGTTCTATATCAATTTTTTCAAGGGTACCACCCACTTTCTCTTCTAAGAGGTTCAGTGTGGCTGAACCTACACACCTTTGAGCACCTGATTTTTGACAAAACAGCTAAAAGTATACAATGGGAAGAGGAAAGCATCTTCAACAAATGGTGCTGGCACAATTGGATGAGGGTGTGTAGAAGACTGCCGATAGACCCATGTCTATCGCCAGGCACAAAACTCAAGTCTAAATGGATCAAAGACCTCAACATAAATCCAGCTTTTTATATTTGTGGAAACAAAATTAGAAATTCTTTTCCCCAGTAACCTGTCCTTAGACTTAAAATTTGAAGTCAAAGCATTTTTAAAATATATAAATTGGATTAATCTAGCAGCATTTCTTTGAACAGTTGTTGCTATTTCCTCAGCAAACAATACAAAGACAACACATTAGCATAGAGTATCTAGACTCTTTGTGTGCCTTTCATCTTCACATGGCTTTTTTATTACTATATTTCTTCTACTTCTATTTTTTTTCATTTTTTTTGAGACAGAGTTTCTCTGTGTAACTTTCATCTGTTCTGGAATTAACTCTGTATACCAGGTTTGCTTTGAAATCACAGAGATCTGCTTGCCTCTGTCTCCCAAGTGCTGGAATTAAAGGCATGTGCCACCACACCCAGCTACTCTCTTTCTTTCTTTCTGTTTTTTTTTTTTTAAAACCACTTCATCCTGTTTATTTTTCTCTCCCAAGTCTACATATATTTTAATACACATTGTAAACCTTCAGAGTTTTTTCTTTATCTGAATCTGTCTTTATGTTGAGTCAGGAAACCTCACTTAAAGGAGCCGCACAAATTTCTGCTTGTCTCTAGCAAAACAGAGTCCCATCGAGAACAATGTTGTTAGTAAGAAGCCTTGCTTGTCTCTGTTCTTTTGTGTCCAAAACCACTTTTAAAGCAAAGTTTTAATCGAAAGTTCTCAGGTCTCACATTGTAGGCGCCATTTTGTTATGAGCAGTTTCCCTGCCAGCCTGGTCCCACACCAGTGTGAGCCCCAAATAACACACAGAGACCATGTATTAGATATAAAGCTGTTGGCCTATTATTAGCATTTCTTATTGGCTAGCTCTGTTTTAAATATTAACCCATTTCTATCAATCTAAGTATTCCACGTGGTCTTATCTTACCAGGGAGAGGGTCCTGCTGGACCTTCTTCTCAAGTCCCTACATCTTGAATCCCCTCCTACCTCTTCCAGAGTCCTTCTTGGCACCTAGAGTGCCTATCTTGCTTTCCTATTGGCCAACAGGGCTTTATTCATTAATCAATAAGAGAAAATATTTACAGAATGACATCACCTGTCACAAACTTCTATGCATGATGTGAACCATTATGTTGGCTAGGTTAATCGAAGTGGGGAGACCTGCCCCAAAGGGGACAGCACCCTTTCCATGCCTGGGATCCTAGATTATATACAAAGGAGAGGGATCTGGGTACCATTCATAGCTCTGGGCTTCCTGAATGTGGATACAATGTGACCAGTCATCTCAAGATCCTCCCACTGTGACTTCCCTGACATCATGGACTGAACCTTCAGGCTGCAAGCTAAAATAGTCCTTTTCTCTCTTCGCTAATACACCCTCACTAACGATTTTCTATGTCACAATAGCTAGAGATACGCAGACCCATTACAGAAACATTAGTGGAGGGACATTTGTGTTGACTGTTTTTGTTGTTCTTGTGGGGTTCCTAGGATGGAATTCCAGATACCTTTTCGCTCCTTTTCAGGTTGCAGGGTTTGTGATTAAAATTTCTGAATTGATTTTATTATTTTTGGAACTATGAAATTACGCAGGAACTAACACAAGTTGATTTATGGCTGAGGATGCAACTCAGCTTGTGTATCTTGAGCCAAGGTTCACTTTCAAAGCGCAGCACTTCACACCCACAGGAAGCCCCCAACACACACATGCAAAGTATGCATCACAGATAATGTATTTGCCATATTTAATACAGTTGATACTGCAGAAAATTATTTTAAACTCCAGTACTGCTTTTCTTTATTGAGCTAATTTTTTTACTAGCATGCAGAGAAACTGACATTTTCATGGACAGATGTCATCATCTGTTGTTGCTCTTCCCCCAGCCCCCACTGCCCTCCTTGTGTCCCCTTACTCCCCTTTGCTGGTCACCTTATTTTCCCCAGAGTGTCTCTTCAAAATGTTTACTCCATTTCTGGCAAACTTACAGCTGCTGAGTCACTAGTGTGAACTGAGAAATCTTCAAGTTCACAGTAGTTCCTTGCGTTCTGATGTGTAAAAATCCACCTTTGTAACTGGTTCCAGGATGAGGCAGCACCCAGAGGAGATGCAGGGAAGAGGAGGAGAGAGGATGCTGCTGAACTGTGCAGTCAGGCGGAGCTGATGAAGCTCGTATCTGAGCTCTCTGAGATGAGGATGCAGGACGATTCTTGTAAAATGGAAGTGGAAAAATACAAGGAGCTGTATCTCAAAGAGCTGAGGAGTAATAACGCCTTACTCTCACTTCTTCCAAGTAGGTGAGTGGGAGAGAGAAATGCTGAGGAGGAACCAGTCTCAAGGCCTTGTCACTAAAGCATAACCCTTAGTGAGCTGGGTCCCTGGGTTTGTCGATTGCGAAAGCTATGTAGATATCGTAATTCTGGGAAGACACAGTGACAAATGAACTTACTTTGAAATGTTAATCCAGGACACGTCTTAGTCCTCCACTCTTGGTTGTACATCTATTTTCCACCTTAGTATTCTTACTTAGTTAATCTATTGATTTTTAGGCGCTGATGAGACTCTCTTGATATAACTTGATTATCAGTGTTTTCACAAATAAAAATATTAAAAGCATAGCTACTTTTGGAGGATTATAACCTAAACCCAACTGTCAAGTGCTGCTGACACTATTGCCCTGGGCACATTCTAGCACTGACAATTTTCTTCAGTATCAACTGTATTAAATATGGCTAATACATATCTGTGATGCGTACTTTGCATGTGTGTGTTGGGGGCTTCTTGTGGGTGTGGAGTGCACATTCTGGCACTGATAATTTAACTTTCCTGCGGTTCAGTGTCACCACTAGAGGGAGCCACAGAGTCACTGCCCTTCCCCATTTTTCTCTCCAGGCAAGCATTGTTGAGATACAGGAAAAGACCATCCCTGAGGAGGGGAAGGGAAGCAGAAGTCCCAGCTGGTTGGACTAATTCCTTGTTCTGTGCGGGCAGGAGTGTGTGGCCGACAGAAAATGCAGCCCCACCTCGCGACTTTGGTAGAGTTCTATCTAACTGCCCTGGATGCTTCAGCTCTATAATCTGCATCTTGGCCTCTCTTAGGCTCTAAATTCCTGCTCAGTAGCAAAGGCTCGATTTCTTCATATGGGACACATGGACAGATGGCAGAAACGAATGCTTTTGGGTGTATGCCTACCTTCACACCCTCCCAAATTCCTCCTCCTCCTCTTCTCCTTCTCCTTCTTCTTCTTTTTCTCAAAATTGTAACCCACTGAGTTCAATTTTTTGCTGTCTGTAGCCTCATGGAATTGGGGCCATTCACTGGAGGATTGGTCAACCTATCAGGGGCGACAGTCTTAAAGAAAACTGATTCTCCCCTCAGAAGCCATAACTGTCAATAGCTCCTCTGGTGTGGGCGCCTGAGACTCCTCCCCATGCATGCTGGGATATTGACTGGCTTGGTCTTGTTCTGCCTGCTGGGTTATTTTCTTGATCAGAATGAAGTAACATTATCTCTTTACCTCCCTTTACCTCTTCCTACAAGACTTGGTTTGGAGTCTGTTTTGTCTGAAACTAGGACAGCAGCACTGGCTTCCTAGTTTCATTTGTTTGGGATACAAAACCCTGTGGTAGTGGAAACCTTTGATTGTAAGGTATTTTTCTCAGAGGTGGCAAAATGAGTTCCTGTTTTCTGTCCAGTCATCTGGTTTGCGTCTTTGGACAGGTAAACAGAGGACATTGATAGATTTATTATTGAAAGGTGTTGTCTTAGTTAGGATTTCTATTCCTATAATGAAACACCATGGCCAAACATTGTTTATTTGGCATACATTCCCATATTGCTGTTCAGCATTGAAGGAAGTCAGAACAGGAACTCAAACAGGGCAGGAACCTGGAGGCAGGAGCTGATGCTTACTGGCTTGCTTCATATGGTTTGCTCAGCCTGCTTTCTTATAGAACTCAGGACCACCAGCCCATCTGTAGCAGCACAATGACCTGGGCCCTCCCTCATCAACCACCAATTAAGAAAATGCCATACAGGCTTGTCTACAGTCTGTTCTTATGGTGACATTTCCTTAATTAGGTTCCCTCCTTGCAGATGACTCTAAGTGTGTAAAGTTGCCATAAGACACACAATAAGCCAGCATAGGTGTGCTTTGCTTCCTGGAATTCTGTTGTAGACTTTCTGCACCCTCTTGTTTAATTTGTCTCATCGTTTTTGTTTTTGTCCTATAACCTGTTGAATGTGCTTAACTTTTCTTTCACACTGAAATATCCCTTCCAGTATCCTCTGTAGGGCTGGCTTGGTGACCATGCTCTCCTTTAGCCTGCTTTTATCATGGAAATTTTTTTCCATCACCTTCAGTCACAATGGTGTTGCTGGGTATATTAGACTGACAATTAGGATCTTTCAGGTTCTTGCTTTCATGGTTTGGATGGAAAACTCAGCAGTTACCTTGGTGGCACCTCCTTTGTATGTGTCTTAGCTCTTCTCTCTTGCAGTTTTCAACATATTTTCTTTATTCTTTACATTTAGTGTTTTAATTACAATACGGTGCATGGAGTTTCTTTTCAGGTTCTTTCATGTTCTGTGTCTGGATGGACTTTTCTTAGAGTTGAGAAATTTTCTTCTCTAAGTTTTTTTTCGAACTATTTCTTATGCTTTGTGCATAAAATTCTTCTTCCATAGCTATGCTGTATGTCATGAGTTTTGCCATTCCTGAAATCCTAAAGTTCTTGCATATTCAGTTCATACATAAAAAAATATGTATATCATGACTTGGTCTGAATTATCATAGCTTGTCTTCATATCCTGATACTTTATCTTCCACTATTGGTGAACTTCTTTGACCTATTGTGTTTTTCCTTTCCATCAATATTTCAGTTGGGGTTATCTTTAGTATTGATATATATTTATTACTACATCTTCATACCATTCAACTATTTATGTTCTCTTAGAAATATATGAGTCCTTGTAGGCAGGGTTTTTCTGTCTCACCAGCCTGCTCCCAAATAACCATACAGATACTTACATTGATTATAAATGCTCAGCCAATAGCTTAGGCTTGTTATCAGCTAGCTCTTACAACTTAAATTAACCCATATTTCTTATCTAAGTTCTACTATGTGGTTCATGGCTTGTTACCTCATTTTGTACATGTCTTGCTTCCTCTGCATCTGGCTCACAACTTTCTGAATCTCTCCTTCTTCTTTCCAGTATTCTTCTACCCCAAAAATCCTGCTTAGCTATTGGCACATCAGCTCTTTATTAACCAATGAGAGTAATACATATTCATATTGTACAAAATAATTGTTCCACAGCAAGTCCTCTTTGAGTTGTTTTTAACCATATTTATATCATTTCTTGTATCCTGATTCTGGAATTTCATGTAATACATTTTTATTGAGGTGTCATTGTTATGAAATTGTATTTTAATTTTTATGTCATGAAATTAATTTTTATGTGCATAAGGGTCTTTCCTGAATGTATCTATGTGCCTCACATGCATGCATGGTGCTCATGGATGCCAGAAGAGAGCATTGGATCCCCTGGAACTGGAATTACATATTTCTAAAAACAGTCATGCAGTGCTGGGAACTGAACCCTGGGTCTCCTGGAAGAGCAGAAAGTGTTCTTAATCTTTGAGCTGTCTTTGAGGCCCAAGACTGGTAATTTTTAGAGGAGATGAGTCATCTTGATTTTTAATGTTATTTGTGTTTTTGCCCTGGGATCTGCCCTGGGATTTGGGGTTATATTGCTAGTGAAGAGTTCTCTTTTATTGTTCTTTTAATTCAGGTTGTCTCTCCTCTTTCAGTGGACTTGTTTGTGGTGTTCAGGAGAGTCTAGGTCATAGTACAGTTGTGTTTGTCTACTAGACTGGTGTTCTCTTGCCCACCCCTGTAATTGAGTACTGTCTCCAGCAACAGTCAGTATCCAATAGTTAACCTGCTCTGCAGGAGACTACAGAAACAAAAACATGTTAAGTTTTGATTGGTTTAGGGAATAAGGGAACCCAGATGGCACTGTTTTTGTCAATATGTTAGAATTGGTGGAAAGGAAGAGGAGAGAAAAAGTGAACCATCAGTGGTAGGTCTTACATCAAGTTAGTTGGGATGTAGATGAGAGGGTGTACATAGAGAGGAGTGGGGGTAATTGCAGCAAAGGGGAAAGTGGGCTGAATAGATAGTTAACAGTAGACTATACCAAGAGAGACGAGACACATACCCTCTCTCCATAATAATATAGTAACAAAGTAAAAAAAAAAAAAAACTAATACAATAAAGACATGAACCAGGCAAGCCTCTGTGCTTTGGGAGATGCAATAGTAAGAAGAATAGGTATGGGGAAAGAGAAAGGAAGAAAAAAAAAATGAAAAAGAAGACACACACAAGCGCATGCATGCATAGGGGTGGGGAGACATGAGCAGTAGAGGACAGCACTTGCTACAACATCTTAATGTGTTGTATTGATGAGAAATGGCTGTAGAGGAGGGAGAAGGGCTGGGTGGAGTTGAGTATATGGGTCACCAGAAGATAGTAAGAGCTGTGGTGAGGGAGGAGGGTTGTATGGAGACATGAAGGAGACCCTAGCCTGAAGGGTGATTTCCCCCTGGTCCTGGGCTGGGCTCTGTCCCACGTTGACTTTTCTCAGGCCTGTCCTTTATGGCCTCCCAGTTCCACTTGCGTGTCTTTTCTTTGTCCCGTGGGCTGCGGATGGCTGAGACAAACTGCACTCAGTCACCCTCAGCACCCTTTAGAACTTATGCTTAGCCCCACTGCCTTGCCTGACACAGTTGCTCCGAGACTTTCTATGGAAACCCTACTGTTTAGATTTCCTGGTAGGAACCTGGACTCATTGATCATATTTGTGGCAGTGAGTCCAGTCCAGCGGGAGGGAAAATTCGTGGTCCCAACGGTAGAAGGGGTTTGTTGGGGGATGTTGATGATGTCTACTGCCAGTCTGGAGAAGGAACTCTGATTGGGTGAGGAGATATGCCCTTTCACTTTCTTTTCCAAAATTATAATAGGACATTTGTCTCACTATAGCTCTAATCTACTACCTTACCTGGAAGTCTTCAGATTTTTTTCTTTTAATCACTAGACTGTTTTGCTAATTGCAAGTGTATTTGTCAATGTTCTCTTAAAGGAACGGAACTGATAGAGTGACCACACACACACACACACACACACACACACACACACACACACACACACACACGGGATGTATTAGATTGGCTTACAGGATGCAGTCTGAGTAGTTCAGCAATGGCCGTTTGGTATTGGAGAAGCTGAGCACCTGGTATCTGCTCAGTCCACGAGGCTGGACGTCTTAGCAGTCCCACTCTGGCACTTGAGGATTCCTGGACAGTTCCTGATCTTCAGTCTATGATGGAAGCCTGAAGAAGCTGGTTCCAATATTGGTGAAGGAGAACCGCAGCAACAGATTAGATGTATTTGCCAGAAAGTGTGAGGGCAAGTAGGCCAAAAGTGATGTCTCTGTTTTTCATGTCCTTTGTTTGAGCTGCCGCCAGATGGTCCCACCCACATTTAGGGTGGGCCTTTCTGCTTTAAATGATTTGACCAAGAAAATCCCTTACAGGAGTGCCTAAAAGCTTGAGTTTTAGTTGATCCCAAATACAATAAAGTTCAAGTTCAATGTCAGCCACCACAATAAGTATTTTTTCTTTTTTTTTTCCTTTCTTTTTAATTTAATTTTATTTTTTTCTCCCTTTTTCTTTTTTTTCCCTTCCTTTCTCTCTCCCCACCCCTCTCTTTTGAGATAAGGGTTCTCTCTGTAACAGCCCTGGCTGTCCTGGAACTCTCCTTGTAGACCAGGCTAGCTTAGAACTCACAGAGATCCACCTGCCTTTCCTTCCCAACTGCTAGGATTAATGTTGTGCCATCACACCAGTCTCAAATATTCTTAACTTTCATTAATTATATGTATTTTAGTAGTGTCATTATCTTGCAGAGATACCCTTTAGAAATATAAATCTTCAGAGGTGCATTAAAAAAAATTAAGTAGATTATTTCCATGGACCACAGTTTTAACTGTAAGCCACATATCATTGATGGGAATTCTTTTCTATTCCATACTGTTTGATTCACTAGTTGGTTCAAAATTTCCCTAGAAATAGACATATTTTTGTTTGTTTACTTGCTATCCTTTGAGACAAGGTCTCACTTTATAGATGACGCTAGTCTGGAACTCACAGTCCTTGTCTAAATCTCACAATCCTCATGTATCTACTTCCTAAGTGCTTAGACTACAGTAATATGCTTCTATGCCTTGCTGTGTTTCTTGAGAAAAATCCTAAACCCACATGCAGTTAGTGTCTTGTCACTGTTTCACTGTGAATGTACCATTTTATTCTGATGTCGTCATTCTCTAAGAAGCAAGCTGTGTAAGAACCCTGTAGTCATTTGGGGGAACACAAGACATACCCAGTGTTTACAGTTTTCAATCTGTGCAGGATTTGCAAGTGTCCAGAGGGGTCGAGTGCAAATCTTGAGGAGTCGATGCGGTGGAACACCTCTGCATCGGTAGCCCTCCTAGGGCCTCGCCCCAAGTGCCCTCAAGTGGCATGTCTAACAAGCAGCAACACGGAGTTACAAGGACATGTGCCCCACCCTTCCCAAAGCCCAGAAGTCAGCAGTGAATTCATGGAAAATCCTAGGAGCTGGGTGAGTTACATAATCATTCTTCCTTTGTGTTTTAACTTCCTGGCATCACTCAGTGCTTAATTTGGGTGAGCTACTGCGTTATTTAGTTGACGTCTGCTTAGTAAGACAAGTTCACAATAATGTGCATGAGGAAGAGAGAAAATTAATAATGAAAAAAAAAAAAAAAACTCAGAGGAGGAGTTGACCTGGGGGAGAGGGGAAGTGGAGGAGGGAATGGGAGGGATGGAGAGAGGGAAACTGCAGTTAGGGTGTAATGTATGAGAGAAGAAGTTACACAAACAAACAAAAACCGACCAAGCAAGCAAGCAAACAAACATTCTTACCCCGAGCTCTCGTTTTCAGTAGATTCAGCTCACCACTTGTAAACAGATGGACACAGATTGGCCTTCTTAAACTCTACCCTTACAGTAGCTGTTAGACATGGGCAGGAGTAGGGCTACAGGAGTCCTGAAGTGTTCAAGAAAGATGTGCAAGTCTTCTTATTTAACGAAACAACTTTCTACTAATTTCTTTCCAAAGTCTGAAGATAAGGAAATGGCGAGGAAAAAACTGATGGACTCAGTGCACTCTCTGCTCTGTGCTTTGCGCCGAGAAGGAAGGAGGACTGAAGTGTTACAAAAAGAGCTAACCAAGTAAGGGCTTAGTATTTCAGGCCTCCCCAACCATTGTTTGACTTCACTCTAATGTCATGAAACCTAAATACAAAGTCGCACTGAAAGTACAGTACTGTAACACGGGCTTCGGACACTCACAGCACAACCTCAACCTTTTGAATGCCAAAATATCACATCTATACTTCAGTGATGTTAAAAAACAGTAAGAATAATGCCTACTGCATCTTCTTCATCTACCTTGAACTTCGATGTCTGTGGATTTTATCATCCATTTCCTTTATTTTGTGCTAATAATATCTTGATTCAAAATAAAAGCGGGTCAACTTTGTTTCATTTGAATTTTCATTATTGGTAATTAGCACAAAAAGATGGAACATATACCACAATTATATCACACAAAGAGACTTTAATTATTAAAATATCTTATGATTAAGATATCATATGTGCACGTAGTATGTTTTGATCACATCCACCTCCATATTTTTCCCTCCCGTTTCTCCCTTTCTCCCTGTGCCTCTTCTACCATTTTTTCCTTCAAACTTTATGTGCTTTTTTTTTCTTTTTTTTTTTTAGACATGCCAAGTCTCTGAGTCATGCTTATATGGGGTGGGATAGGACCATCTACCCGAGTATGGCTAGCTTTGCATGGACTGCATCCCTAAAAGAAAATGGATCCTCCCTCCCCCACTACCCAATAACTGCCAATAGCTCTTCTTTTAGGGGTGGAAGCTTTTGAGTCCCTATGCTGGAGAGTTTTATGTCAGTGTGATACAAGCTTGTGTCATCTGAGAGGAGGGAACCTCAATTAAGAAAATGCCTCCATAAGATCAGACTGTAGGCAAGCCTGTAGGTCATTTTCTTATTAGTGATGGGTGGGTGATGGCCCAGCTTATTGGGAGTGGTGCCATCCCTGGGCTGCTGGTCTTGTTATCTTTAGGAAAGCAGGCTGAACAAGCCATGGGGAGCAAGACAGTAAGCAGCATCCCTCCATGGCCTCTGCATTAGCTCCTGCCTCCAGGTTCCTGCCCTGTTGCTATCCTGGCGTCCTTCAATGATGGCTTATGATAGAGAAGTGTGAGCTGAATAAACCCTTTCCTCCACATCTTGCTTTTGGCCACGGTGTTTCATCACAGCAGTAGAAGCATTAACTTGGGAAGCCTCTTCTCCCATTCTTCCTGGGATTTTGACTGGCTTGATCCTGTGCAGGTCTTGTGCACGCACCCACTGCTGCTCTGAGTTCATGAGTGCAGCAGTCCTGTTGTATCTAGAAAATAGTTTTGCTGCATGCAGGTGCCCACTAGTTATGGCTCTCGCAATCTTTCCTCTTTCTCTTCTGCAATGGTCCCCAGGCCTTGGAAAGGAGAGAATGTGATATAGATGTCCCAGGTAGAGCTGCTCAGACAATGGCCTCTTGTTTTCTGCCTTTTGGCCAGTGTGGGCCCACAGTGGGCCACCTACTGCTCTGAGGAGCATTGAGAGACACATTAATCTATGAGTATGAAGATAAGAATGTAGAGGGAATTGTGTCACTATGTTCTCCATGAAATGTGAGACAAGTAGTTGGTGTCTTCGGCTATGGATCTTGCTATCAGGTCCTGGAGGGCAACTGAGAACAATGGCAATAATCTGCAGTGTTGGGGGGGAGTCTACAGTAACCCATTGATGAACATTTCAAACAGAGCTAATCAATACCTGCAATGGACTTTATTTGCTAGATAGTCTATGGTATCTTGGAGAAGCACTGTTCCCTATTATAGTATAACTCCATATATATGCATGTGTATACACACACACACACACACACACATATATATATACACATGCATATATTTTATGAAGTTTCTATGGTAATAGATTTTCATGGGTCTATAGTTTAGTTAACCCTCTACTCTGTCCTCCCATCCCCAACTCCATTTAACCTTTTTATTATCCTACCTTCTGTGGGTACTCCCAACTTAAACACATGTGTCTACAGAGTCAAAGCTACATCCATGTATAAGAGAGAACAAGCAGTACTGTTTTTTCTGGGTCTGGATCACCTCACTCAGAATGATTATTTCCAATTGCATTAATTTTCCTGAAAGTTTCATTTTTCTTTAGAGCTGAATAAAATCTCCCTGTGTACAGGTGCCACATTTTCATTATCCACTCATGAGTTAATGGGCATCTAGGCCTTTTCCATGTTCTAGCTATTGTGTATAGAACAGAAATGAACATGGCTGAGCATGTATCTCTGTATTAGGACATGGGGTCTTTGGGGAGTATGCTCAGGATCGTTTCTAGCATATTGAAGAATATCTGCCTCGATTCCCACAGTGGCCGTACAAGTTTACATTTCGACCAGCAGTGAATGACTGTTTTCCTTCCCCACATTCACGCCAGCCTTTATTGTCTGTCTTTCCTACCTTTTTGAAAAAACAAAGGCTAAAACTTAGCCTTCCTGACACGGGTAAGATAGAATCTCACAGTAGTTTTGATGTTTGTGTCCCTGATAGCTAAGAATACTTAACATGTAAGATACATTTCTCATCCGCTTGTATTTCTTCCTTGAAATCTCTCTGTTTATTCTATCTTAGTTGCTATTCTATTGCTATGAAGAAGCACCATGACCCTTATGAAAGAAAACATTTAATTAGGGACTTGTTTACTGTTTCAGAGGTGTAGTCCATTATCATTATGGCAGGCAGGGTGGTGGCGTGCTTGGTGATAGTGGAATATTAGCTGAGAGCTATGTCTAGATGTGCAGGTGTGGGGTGGGGGCAGAGATAGATAGATAGATTCAGAGAAAGACAGACACACACAGAGACAGAGACACACACAGAGAGAGAGACAGACAGACACACACACACAAACGAGAGTGAGAGAGAGAGAGTCCTGGAATGGACCTTTAAAACCCTAAGCCCACCCCAAGTGGAATACTTCTTCTCAACAATGCCACACCTACTAATCCTTCTCAAATAGTGCTACTCCCTGGTGACTAAGCATTCAAATACATGAGCCTGTGGGGGTCATTCTCATTCAGATCGGCACATTCTATTCTCTGGCCCCATAGACCTATAGCCATATCGCAATGCAAAATGCATTTAGTATACTTCAAACATCCCCATAGTCTTTCAGTATCACTCACTTGGCCCCCTAGCTCAGTTAATTGAGTTGTTTGTTTTCTTGGTGTTCAGTTTTTTTTTTTTTAAGTTCTTTGTATATTCTGCATAGCTGATAAATATTTCTTCCCACTCTGTAATTGCCTCTTCACTTGGCTGATAGTGTTCTTTGCCGTACAGGAGTTTTTAGTTTTACAGGGTGCCACTTATTGATTGTTGATCTGAATGCCTGCACTGTTGGAATCCACTTTAGAAAGTGCTTCCCTGTTCTCGTGAGTTAAGAGTATTTCCACATTTTCTCCTCTCTTTGCTTGTATGCCTGTGTTTCACATGGTGCCTGCTGCCCTTGGAGGCCAGAAGGGGGATTGGGTTTCCTGAGACTGGAATTATGGACAGTTGTGAGCTCCATGTGGGTGCTGAGAATCGAACCCAGGTTCTCCAGAAGGCAGTCGGTGCTTTCAACCACTGAACCATCTCTCCAGTCCCAGGATGTTAATTTTGTAATCTGTCACATTTCTGAAAGTGTCATTAGCTCTAGGAGTGTTCTGGTGGAGTCTTTGGTGTCCCTCGTGTGTAGAACCATGTCATCTGCAAACAGGAAAACTTAGACAGTTTCCTTTCCTATGTGCATCCCTCTTCCTTCCTTCTCTGGTCCTGTTGCTCTAGCTAAGATTCCAAGCACTGTTGAACAGGAGAGGCAAAAGCACATCTTGTTCTGTGGGAGGGCTTCAGGTTTTTCTCTACTCCCTATGATCATGGCTATTGGTTTGTCATACTTAAGCCTTTATTATTGGCATATGTTTTCTCCATCTCCATCTTTTTTTAGGGTGTCACGAAGGGATGCTGTATTTTGTCAATGACCCTTTTCAGCATCTGTTGACAGGATCATGTGACTTCTGTCCATGAATGAGCCCATGTGTGTGGAGGATTACATGGATCCAGTGCTCCAAGTTATCTACCTTCTCTTCCCACTGCTTTCCAGTTTTCTCCAGGTTCCATATTGCTGGTGATGTTTTCCACTCGCTTCTTATTTTGACTTACTGAGCCCTTCATTTCCAGCATCATTTTAGTTTGGGCCCTCCAGCAGTTCTCTTTGCTTAATTCTATTTTGTGTTTGGCTTGACATCTGCATTTCATTCATTTCTTTGCTTCTGTGTCTTGGACTATATATCTTCTTTGAGTTGTTTGGACATAGTTATAATAATTCTTTATCTGAACATTCTTCCAGTCTGTTCACATTGGGGTCCATTGTTACAGGGTTAGCAACGTGTGGAGCAGACACATCTTGAATTTTCAAGTAGTTTCTGCTTAGGGGATGGTACTCTAGTCTGTATTTGTTGACTGGGTGTGAGTGTGGACCTGGGGTGATGGTCTGGGGATGACTTTTCTGTCAATGTGGGAGCTAGGGAGCCTAAGTTTTATCCCCAGAAGCCACTATGGAAGGAGAGAACTGAGTTCTGAAAGTCATCCTCTTTCCTCCATACATGTGTGCCCTCCAACAGTTAATACAATATTTAAAAACTTTTAAAGAATCTTCAAATCAATTTTTCTAAAACAAAACAAACAAAGAAACAAAACAATAAAAAGCAAGACACTTCGCGGTAGCCCTGTGTGTCATGGGGAATTACAGGCTGTACAGCTGTGCTTCTCCTAAGTATTTTTCAGTCTGCAGTTGACCTTGGTGGGAGGGAGAGCTTACAGATATGGAAGGCTGAACTGTGTGTTGGTTCCTGTGTACAAAAGCTCATGTATGACCTACACACAAAGAATGTAAACAATCTCACACTTTCCCTATCAGACCAAATCTGGAGTGTTTTCTGGGATCTTTGCTAACCCCACCCACACATGACTGCTGTTACATCTACTCTCTGAGTATTTGACTTTGTTTGTTGTATTATCAACATTCTTCTCCCATTCAACTATTTCTGTACGTGGTTTTTATTTCATGTGTTTAGTCAATATTGTGTTAGCAGAGACATATAGTGTTAAGAAAGTCACAATTCTCTACTCATTCTTTCTTTGTGGATTTCCTCCTTCCCAACCCTTTTCTGTCTCACTTTCCCACTCTATAGAAATGTCAAGGACTTTTTTTCTGTTTGTTTACAGCTGTGACTCTCTTGATGCCTTGTGCTTGTGCTGGGACTGTGCTCACAATGTGGCTTATGAACATAGTATTGGCATTCTTCTACGTCTCCCGACCTCCCTGGTGTTTTCTTGTGTGTACTCTCTTTTCTTCTTATAGACCATATTCTACAGTTACTGAAGCATATCTTATACATATCTTGAAACCATTATACAGAAGTGTACTTTATCTTCTTCACCTTGGCTACTGACTTCTGGATTATAGCTAATAATTAATATTAATTTAATGTTCTCTGTTAACACACTGAAATGGATATTAATCATATAAAATTCTGTATGTAGTTATAGCATTAACCATTTGTCTGCCATGCATATCCATTGTCCTGGCTAGTCTTATGTCAACTGGACACAAGCTAAGAGGAGAGAACCTCAATTGAATAATGCCTCCATAAGATTCAGCTGCAGCAGACAAGCCTGTAGGGCATTTTCTTAAAATCATGATTTATGGTCCAGTCCATTGTGAGTGGTGTCATTCCTGGGCTGGTGGTCCCAGATTCTATAAGAAAGCAGGCTGAACAAGCCAGGAGGAACAAGCTAGTAAGTAGCATTCTTCTGTCTTCTGCATCAGCTCCTGCCTCCAGGTTCCTGTTCTGTTTGAACTCCTGTCTTGGCTTCCTGGCTTCCCTTGATGGACTGTAATTCAAGATACACAAGCAAATTAAATTCTTTCCTTCCCAAGTTGCTTTTGATTATAGTGTTTCATCACAGCAATAGAAACCTAACTAAGATATCAATTATCTAAGATTATGATGTAATGCAAACGGTTTCAAAAATGTTGCTTTGAGACAGGATAGTGATTTACAGGCATTCCCTACATACAGTAGGCTATAATATTTATTTAAACAATTACTAGGTATTCACTCATTAAAAAACTCTACTCTGCCTTCTTACAGAATGAAGAAAATCTTGAATATGTCCCCAAAGGTAGGACATGGGTGTGACAACAGGAGACACTGTTTTCCTGAAGTTCCAAAAGTCAGTCAAGCTGAAATGAGCGTTCCAGTTACCATGCTAAGCCTTGAGGTAATCTGCAACCAGTTGTGGGATCAAATCACTTAATCTTGGGAAAAACAAATGTCTGAAAACTTCTAATAGTCTATGAAGACTAAGCTATTATAGTATTACATACATTTTATCAGGAAAACACAAGTCTTCATTTTCTTTTTTATTAGAAAGGAACAGGGTTGATTTTCTTGCCTTAAAACTGGTTTCTGGATAGAGCTCAGTAGCACACTATGACACTGCTAAGATTCTCAGGTAGGGAGTCAGGCTTTCTGTTAACAGCTTTATTGGCACATAGTGCATGTATAATTAATAGCACGTAGTGCATGCATAATTAAACAAGCTTCGTCTTCCATATTCCCTAATTTGAGGGGAAATTCTGGAGACACACTGGCCTCACTGTAAAAATTTACAGAGGAAGGGTGCTGTGCAAAACCTTCTGCATAGTTGTAGAGAGATTTCCTGGGCTCCTGTGCTTCTCAACAGCCTCATTTGATGGCGTTTAATCAACACTGTCTCAGTGTTTTCTAGTTCTTCTCTAAGGAACACTAACCTCTATTATGGAAGTGGCTCTCTTACTGAGTCTTTTCCAGACCAGTCTTTTTTTATTTTTCCTTTTAAATTACTCAATTTAGTGACATCAAACATTGCCTTTCTGATTCTGTGGTTTGGGAAACTTTGGAGAGCTGTCTGTCTCTGTTCCTGTCAGCTGAGGTAGGAACCGCTTGGTGCCTAGGGTACTGGGGCAATCTCTGGTTGCAGGAGATGTTGCTGTTATCTGTGGATTGCCTGGGGAGGCAGCCAGAACTCCAGTAGTGGAACATCTGGGCTGCGAAGTCATGCAGGGTGACAGCTGGAACCACTCCCCGACTCCACACAGTGATACATGGGCTAGCTCTGCAGCTTTGTGTCCTCACAGGGTAGTGTGGGGTCCCAGGGCAGCACTCTGAGACGGTTTCCTAATTTAATGTTGAAGGTTGCATGAAATCCCTTTATCATTCTCTATTTGCCTTTCTCTGCGGAATGGCGGTGACAGAATGACCTGTCCAAAGCCAGTGTGCTCTGATCTTTGTCTGCAATGGCTTACAGATATCTTACAGGTGCTTGAAAACCTCAGTACCTGCCACTGTTCAGTTGTCGTGACTTCAGGATAACTTGAAGTACAAGGTCTTATCAGGTCTGGATGGGATGTTTTTACTAGAGTACTGTTCTTTGGAGCAATGTGCTCAGGAGAAAAGCTGCCATCACCCACACACTATATTCTGCTAACCTAGCAACCCTTTCCCATCTCATAGATGGAAATGGGAGACACACAGGAGGCACTGCTTACATGAGACATCAGTGAGCAATCAGCCCTCAGCGTTCAGTGATTCTCCAGGGCTCTTTGCTGTGTCTGCTGGGTACTTTCTTATCCTTCTTACCTAGCCTCTCTTGGGCTGTGGATTGTAGCATGGTTATCTTTTACTTTACAGCTAATATCTACTTAAGAGTGAGTACATACCAGGTTTGTCTTTCTGGGTCTGGGTTACCTCACTCAGGATGATTTTTTTTCCTAGTTCCATTCCTTTGCCTTCAAATTTCCTGGTGTCCTTGTTTCTTTCAGCTGAGTAATACTCCATTGTGAAAAAGTACCACACTTTCTTTATCCATTCCGTGGTTGAGGGACATCTAGTTTGTTTCCAGGTTCTGGCTATTACAAATAATGCTGCTATGAACATAGTTGAGCAAGTGTCCTTGTGGTATGATTGAGCATCCATTGGGTATTTGCCCAAGACCAGTATATCTGGGTCTTGAGGTAGATTGATTCTCAGTTTTCTGAGAAACTGCCACACTGACTTCCTAAGTGGCTGTACACGTTTGCATTCCCACCAACAATGGAGGAGTGTTTCCCTCATTCCACATCCTCTCCAGCATGAGCTGTCACTTGTGTTTTTGATCTTAGCCATTCTGACAGGATGATGGAATCTCAGAGTTGTTTTGATTTGTATTTCCCTGATGGCTTAGGATGTTGGACTTCTCCTTAAAGTGTTTCTCAGCTATTTGAGATTCTTCTGTTGATATCTGTACCCCATTTTTAACTGGATTATTTGGTTTGTTGATATCTAGTTTTTGAGTTCTTTATATGTTTTGGAAATCAGCCCTCTGTCAGATGTGGGGTTGGGGAAGATCTTTTTCCAGTCTGTGGGAGCAGCTTTTTCCTATTGATGGTGTCCTTTGCCTTACAGAAACTTTTCAATTCTATGAGGTCAATCTTAGTGCCCATTTAATGGTGTTCTGTTCAGGAAGTTGTCTCTTGTACCAATGTGTTCAAGATTAATTTCCACTTTCTCTTCTATTAGGTTCAGTGTATCTGGATTTATGTTGAGGCTTTTGGTCCACCTGGACTTGAGTTTTGTGCAGGGTGATAGATATTGATCTATTTTCATTCTTCTACATGCCAACATCCAGTTATATCAGCACTATTTGTTGAAGATGATTTATTTTCAGCTTGTGGAAAATCAGGTGTCCATAGGTGTGTGGATTTATGTCTGGGTCTTCGATTCAATTCCATTGATCTGTTTTTATGCCAGTACCATGTGGTTTATATTACTATAGTTTTGTAGTAGAGCTTGAAATCAGGGATGGTGATACCTCCGGAAGGTATTGTCATACCTTGATCTTAAGTTACACTTTTCACCATTAAAAACTTCCAATTCCTTATTAATTTTGTATTATCATATACGAATACTCACACACGTGTACATTGAAGCTGAGGATATGGAATGATAGAGAGCTTGCCTAGCATGTGCCAGGACTTGCTTCCAAACCACAGCAAGAACCCAAATTGTTTGTATGTTATTTTTAATTTATTGTATTTTAAAATACTATGTGTGTGACTGAATGTGGGTATATGACTGCATGTGAATGGTGGTACCCTCTGAGGCCTGAAGAGGGCACTTTATCCCCTGGAATCAGAGTTACAGGAGGTTGTGACAGGCCAATCAAGTTCTGGGAACCAAACTTGGTCCTCCAGAAAAGCAGAAAGTGCTCGTAACCACTGAGCCATCTCTCTAGCCCCTAAATATAAACCCTGTAATAGTTGTTACTGACTTCATATATTCAATCCTGCAGCATACTTTTTCATGCACTTAAATTGTTGCAAAACTAGAGTATTCAACTCAAAGTGGGTCATTGGAGTCTGGTTTTAAATAGTACACCACACCATTTTCATTTTAGGGAGGAGCAACAGCGAGAGAAAGCTTAGTGCGTGTTCAAGAGAATCCAAGTGCGGCAGTCCTAACTCAGATGGAGTCTGAAATGAAAGATATCGAATCTGCCATCTCTGAAGTGAACGCCCAAGAACACGCGGTTAAAAATGAACTAGAGGCCTTGAAGCAGCTCTATCGAGGAGAGTTAGAGCGTATAGATGGCATTTCATCGAAACTGCCTGTGTGAATAGGAAGGAGACACAACAAGCCACGCCCGTGCTGCGAAAGCCTGGTGCTCAGTGAATCCCGTTCATGATACTTGTAGACTGTCAGAGATATTGAGACAGCGTAATTCCGGGAAATGTGTTGATAAATGAGCCGCCTTTAAAATGTTAGCCCAGGACAATTTTTATTTCTCTGTTTTTAGTTACATACAGCATTTCCTACTTTGCTATTCTCACAGAGTTGATTTAATCAATTTGGTCTTTAATTGCTCTAGGTGGTGACAGTTTGTAGTATTATAAGTTCTATAATTACAGGTTAATTTTCAGAGCTTCCATAAACATAAGCATCAAAAGTTTAGCTGTGTTTGGAAGGTGATAAAGTAAATCCAAGCCTTTAAGTGCTGCTGACTCTACCAACACTCTGGAATTGGCAATTTAACGTTCCTGTAATTTTCATTGTTACCACTAGAGGGCGCCTGCAGAGTGGCTGCCATTTAGAGTCCCTGAGAATACAGGGAAGGATCAACACAGCATAGTTAGGGTAATTCCTTGTTTAGTATGGGCAGGAGAGCAGCCCCGCCTGACCTCTTTGGTAAGGATGCACTAACAGCCCCAGAACTGGTCACCGCTTTGGAGCTCAACTTCACTTTGCTGTTCAGAATTATTCCTGAGATTGAAACACTTCCAGCCTATGAATGATATACAGGTGAAGAAAACTAATTATTTTCCTTGGGGAGTCTAAAAAAACCCGCATATTAGTTTAATAAATAGAACTATTCTTGCCCATTTTTTCCAGTTTAGATCTATCAAATTTATGTATTTATGAAGCATGATGTATTAATAAATTTATACTTGATGAAACGCCGACTATAAGCACATAGACACACCTTCACCTTACATAGTTACCTTCTAAGTACAAGTATTTTCTTTTTTATTATTAAGTTAGTTCTTGGACAACCTCACACATGCGTATAATACACTCTGGTCCCTCTACCCCTCCTTCTTCCCTCCTTGCCTCTTTCCCTGAATTCATAACTCTTGTGTTTGTGTTGTGAGGCATTTAGTTGAACCAGGGCCATCTATGGGACCACTGGAGCCTGATGGTGTCACGGATGGGCACACAATTGAAGGCAAGGACCCCATTTCCCTAAATTACCAAGAGCAGATAGTTCAGTGGTGAGGGGTGGGCCCCCCGAACCTCTTGGGTATCCGTTCCTGGCTGCTGAGGGTTCCCTTCTTGTGCGGATCAAGTGCAGGCATCTGTGGTGATTGATGGTCCATGACTGCAGTGGGTTGTCCTGCCCAGAAGGAAGCATTTTGGAGACTTCCTTCCTGCTTTGGTTTTTTTCAGGGTTCCTCAAGCCCTGGAGGGAGATGGCATAGACGTTTTGTTTAGGATTGAGCCCTCAACCATCACTTCCTCTCAGCACTGGAGGTACAGTATTTCCAGTGGTTCATTGAAGGGTCTTCTCTGCAGAACCTTCCACAGGCCACAGGGTTCTTCCTGATGTACTCCACTTCCTTAGAACCCCCTCAGAAACATATATGCCTTTTCAGAATTATTTTAAACCCACAGTTTGTAATGAAAAAAAAAAGAGAGACCCTAACTAAGCAAGGGTCCCCTGACCCTAGGCTATCAGACAGGAAGCCATGAGCTGTTCCCACAAGAAGAGGGGGAACCTAAGCCCATCACTAACTGTGTAAACATTTCTCCCCACCCATTGTCTCTTAAGAAAATTGGGAACTAGGTGGCCTCTTTACCTGCTGGTCATAAATCCTCCAGACCATAAGATATGTTAATCAACCCCACCTCAACAAACAACAGGCTCCCTTGCTAAATACCCTTTGTTTTGCGATTATCTTCTATGGAAATTTTGTAACCTTGTTCACTAAGAAATCTGTAACCATGGAAACCTTGTTACAGGAGATAGAGATCTCAGAAACCCTTCCCATTCTCTGCATTTATAGTTCTGGGCTTCAACTCTCCCAACAGAGTGAAGCCCCAGCTAGCTGCTTTTTGAAATAAACACCTTGTGTTTGCATTCTGGCATTGCTGGCTACTTGAAGCTTGGGGGGGGGTCTCTTGGTGGACTCAGTAGTTTATAGTAAGTATGTTCTGCTGGGTTTTCAGTGTTGAGGCTTTACTCAGTGAGAGGCAATTAAAATCTGCTCCTTTAAGGGAAAATGTGATTATCAGTTTCTGCCTTTTGCAATCTCATAGCTCTATTCAAAGTAAAGTGGAAGGCTGTGCATGCCTCAAGGGCACTGTGAGGCATGGTGTGGACTACACTACTTCAACAGAGCCCAGAAATGTTTCTAAGAGTTTGGGAGTCCTCAGCATTTTCCTGCCAAGAGAAAACCCCTGATGACAACAACTGCAAATTCGTGGCAGCTGGGGTGAATTTCTGAGGGGACTTAGTATTTTTCCTCTGGGTTTTAGATTTCTGGTATGAGTCCTATTTTTAATTTATTGAAATACCTAACCTATTTAATTGACTTGAGCTTGGTTGGGTATGATCATAATAACAGGCATTAATTACAAAAGAAAACAAGGTTTGAAATTTACTGAAAAGGGCCAAGACGTACATTTCTTAACTCAATTTAATGTCTTTATTTAATTTAAGAATATGTGATATTTGTCAAGGACTTTAAACACATGCTGTGTTCAATCTGAGTATCTGCTGTATGAAGCAGTTAAAACCTGCATGAACATGATTTCAGATGTGTGCTAATTTAAATATGCACTCTGGATTTATCATTTTCTTTATCCTTACAGCAGAAGGAAGGAGAGAGAACAGGTATTAAATACATCAAAAGTACTTAAGAGTTAAGTAGGACAAAAGAATCTTTCACCATATGTAAATAATTAAACTTTTCAAAATACAAAGATGTATACTTCAACATGAACTCCAAAGTTACAATTATTTCTCAATTTCATAAGCAACCTAAATCCAAAGGGAATCCTTCTTTTCAATGACTTCTGATATTATAGGAGTTCACAAGTATAAACGTTTAATATTTAAACAAGCAATCCCATGGCCAAGTAAGACACCACAGCTGTTACAGGTATGGCCCTACAATTACCCTATGTGTTATGTATGAAATTAAGCTAGCAATAAACATGCTTCCACAATTATGCTGTGAATGAGAGAAGTGAGGATGTTAGTGAAAAATCACTATCTTTAGTTCAAGAAAATTAAGAGGAGGACAAGCAGACAAGTATTTCTAATAGGAAAGGTAATTTTTGACAAACATAGAAAGCATTTTTTCCTCTATATGGGAATACCATGGAACATTCACTTCAAACAGCGGGCAATGGTAGAATTATTGTAAATCCACTGTAACACTTAAAACATAATGAAAATAAAACTGCCCCTGCAGCACAGTGTAAGATGTAAATGCAGCTTGCACAGAGTCAAACAAAACCTAGGACTTGCTGCTCTGTCCAACACTTCAGTCCCACCCAGGTCAGACCCAGGAGATTCATTGAAATAGATCGTTTGGAAATAAAACTCTAAAAAAAGACAAACAAGTGCTTCAGTAACCATATGTCCAACTCAATCAACTTAAATGGGTTTTATTTGCTTTCCACTAACAAATCTTTATTTCAATTCGTGAGAGCAGTAAGTCGACCATATTCAGCTCCATTGTGATGGGAGAGGTCATTCTGTATGTTTCTCATACTGGTTAATAATAAAGCACTGTTGGCCAATAGGAAAGGAAGATAGGAGGGACTAGGAGACATGGAGGAAATAGGAAGTAGTAAGGAGGAGTCAAGATGGAGAGTCTGGAGAAAGCAGTATGCCGCCGGCTCCCCGGTAAGAGAAATACATAGATCAGCAGAAATGGGTTAATAATTAAGGCAGAGCTAGCCGATAAGAAAGTAGTAACCGGGCCAACAGCATTGTATCAAATACAGAGTCTCTGCGTATTATTTGGGGCTGGCGCAGCGGCAGGACAAGAACAAGCAGCAGGCAGAAAAACCGTACTTGTTACAATTGGCGCCCAACGTGGTTAATAAGAACTTCCACTTAAAATTTAACAAAAGCTTAAAAACAGGTTTTAAAAACAAAAGAACAGAGACAAGCAAGGTTTCTTGGTAGCAGCATTTTTCTCAGTTGAACTCTGCTTTGCTAGAGACAAGCAGATATTTGCGCAGCTCCTTTAAGGGAAGATTCCTGACTCAGCATAAAAGGCAAAAATCGCACAGCTTTTAAATAACTCTGCTAACAATTTATTGGTGTGTATGAGAGATGGCAATGGCAGTGACCACATCTCCAAGCCGGCAGCATGCGGCTGGATGGCAGCGTTGACTAGGGCAGTGAGCACAGCTTTCCATGCTGGCGGTAAAATACCCGCCACCATCTTTGGTAAACCGCGGCTGACACAGCTATGACTTTCATTTTAGCAATGTTGTTCTTTACCAGATAAAAGACTTGTGGCCAGACGAAGATAAAGATTTACAGTAAAGACAGATTCATATTAAGAAAAACCTCTAAAGGTTTACAGTGTGTTTTAAAATATACGTAGACATGAAAAAAATGTTTTTAAAGACACAAAGATGAACTGGGTGTTGTAGCACACGCCTTTAATCCCAGCACTCAGGAGACAGAGGCAAGCAGATCTCTGTGATTTGCAAAGTAAACCTGGTATGCAGAGTGAATTCCAGGACAGATAAGAGTTACACAGAGAAACCCTGTCTCAAAAAATAAAAAGTAAAAGAAACAGAGTAATAATAAAGCCACATAAAGATGAAAAGCTCAGAGAGAATCTGGTTACTGTATGCTATTGTGTTGTCTCTGCATTCTTTGACTACTGAGAAAATAACAACAATTGATAAAGGAAATGTTGCTGGATTAATTCAATTTATATATTTTAAAAATGTTTTGACTCAAAAATTTAAGTCTAAGGACAAGTTACTTGGGAAAAGGATTTCTATTTTTGTTTCCACAGAAAATAAAAAGCTGTGGATTCCTTCCAGACTAATGTGGTTTGATCAAGCCAGGCCCCCTGAAACAGAGTC